TTTAAATGTCATATTTGGTGACTAGAGCAGTTTTGGGTGCTAAAGTTTAAGTTCAGGGTTGGAGACTGAAGAGAAATGTATTTTTAGTCTGGGATAATCTGATAATCTATGACAACTATAGATCATTTACAAGTCCATCGAGCTGCGTCACGGTCTGTCTGTGGGTGACTATGAGAAGCAAAAGCTATAACAACGTACCTAAAACATCATAATATTAGATTCTCGTATGCCATCTTTGAATAGTCCAGCCTTGAAGCTTTACTGTTTTTTACTGTTACAGCATATAGTCAGTATTGTCCGCGGTCTCAATGTGTTTAGCAAAGCAAATCTCTTCATGTCTGCGTTTAATGTCCTTTTTTTCATTTCATTTCATGACCTCTCGCCTTCTTCTACTCGCAATATAGACATTTGGATGCTTATATATTGGAATTACACATGCGTTTTCATAATTTAGCTACAACAAAGAGTAGTTGGTTTAGATTTCAATGACCTACAGTATCTTAGCTGGGAGCGTCCATTGTAGTTCAAAATGTGATGAAAAATGTGTCAGAAATTGCTCAAAATTGGGCAAAACATATCTTAATTTGAGCACATTTTGACTAGCTTACTACCGGATTAGCCGATGGGATAAACACAATAAGATTAAATCTGGGTTAGGGTTAAAAATCTGGTTTTAGCACAGTCAGAATGTGCTCAGATTAAGAAAAACCACTCGTTTCAAGCAATTTCTACCACATATTTTATCACTTTTTAGAAGTGTGTCTTTGTCTATGTCTATTGTCCTATGTTTATTCCAAGTCCATTCAATATCCAGCAGTCGTCGCATACACAAACTACTTTTAAGAGTGCGATTGGGGGACCCTCGCACATGCATTATTTAGCAACACAATCTTCTAGTTGAAATTGCGTCTCCACCTTCCAGCTTCGCCCCTTTTCTCCATGCTCCAACAGGCACAGGTTGCAATGTTTTCAATTGTGTTTCAAAAGTTGTATTCAAATGTCGATGATGAAAAGTCACTGGAGCAAACATACTCCACTGTGTCGCCAACGGGAAAAAAAGGGTTTCTGAATGTTTTTTTGGGCCTCGCAAATTAGACATGTATTCATCAGAAGAGAGGCGCAGCGACCGGCTTTCCGTGTCCAATCATTTTTGGCTACAACCACAGAGAGACTGGAAGGGGAGCATCCGCGGCCAACACTGCAGAAAGTGATGAGGAATAAGTAGAAAGTGGCTCAAATTTGGCGAAATGTGTCTTGATTTGACCACGTTTTGACAGCCTTAAGACAAGATTTGCCAACGGGGCAAGCAAAATGATCGTGTCCCTAGGAATGGGAAAAAAAGTTTTTGAAAGAAGACTATTGGCAAATCTTGTTTTAAGTCTTACTTTGAGCAAAATGTACTCTAGATGAAGAAAAAAACGCCTGATTCAAGCATTTAATACCGCATATTGGATAATTCTTTGCAGTGAACCTAGTCCTACCACACCATTGTACTCGGTTCATTGTGTACTAAGGTCTGGAGGTGCTCCATCCGTCAACAGGTGGGTTAACCCCTTTTGCAGATTGAAACCATTGGATCTGAGTTTACTGTGACATGTGTAATGCGCCAAGTGAGTGAGGCATTTAGCATTTAGCCTAGCTTTAGCATTTAGCCCATCTTCTTTGCCCCTGAGAATTGACCAGAGTTTACGGATGGCTAAGGCCAGGCTACAGTGAACCCTTTTTTAGTAAAAACAATACAAATCTTTAGTGTCTGCTTGCTGACACATATCTATAATATTCAAGCAAAAATACAAATTTAGCAAAAAATATATATTCTGGTTGCGTTCCATGTGACATCACAACATTGCCAAGAGACTAAAGTTTAACATTGTGGAGGAGGGAAGCTCGAATGTGTCCTTTAGATTTCCATTGGTACCTGCCCCTCCAACTGAAATTCAATTCAATGGTTTGTCTTCCCAAAAGAGTGATTTGTACATTTTTGCGGGGTTTTCTGCTCCAGTGACAAACGGCTGGAAGAAAGATGCAGCGAAAATCAAACGGAGAACAGAGATATCGGCGTTTGAAGTGGTGTATCCTTTGGACGCGACCGTGCCGACAGGGACGCCTTATCTGTCCTATTAAAATGCTAATGGCCCGAAATTATCTGACCAGTCAACAGCTCCGCTCCTGTCCACGTTATCTGCTTTTTGAACGCGACCTTTTGAGCTGAGACCAGACCAGAGCGAGGCCACATACACATCACAGGTACATACACACCACAGGTACAAACACACCACAGGTACAAACACACCACAGGTACGCGTTTATACAAAGAGATGGAGAGAGAGAGAAACAAGGAGAGAATGTACAGGTAGGTAAGTTAGGGGTTAGAAGGGGACCAGCAGAAAGACTGGCCTCCTGCTGGGACTCTGAGGAGCACAGGGACTGGCCTCCTGCTGGGACTCTGAGGAGCACAGGGACTGACCTCCTGCTGGGACTCTGAGGAGCACAGGGACTGGCCTCCTGCTGGGACTCTGAGGAGCACAGGGACTGACCTCCTGCTGGGACTCTGATGAGCACAGGGACTGACCTCCTGCTGGGACTTTCTTGCATCCATTTAAAACAGGATTATTTTGCTTTGTCCCATTGGCAAACCTTGTTTTATTTAAAAAATTCAGAAACATTTGAAAATTTTTCATAACTTGTAAGTAGATAAATAGTTAATTTTGGCCCTTAAAGCTGGGGTACCAAACTTTCAAACAACAAATCAACTACATATCGAAATCCATATGACTAGTTCCTTGCTCTAAAACATTTCTATAAAGTTTTACGACATTTCAAGACTTTACTTGCCATTTGCAGTAAAACCACATTGGAATACATCTTCGAGAGTCCCCGGCGTGAACAAGACAAGTACATAAATTAAACAAGGTTAAAAGTACGGAAAATAGTAAACAATAAAATTTACACAAGATAGTTTGATACCCAGCTTTATGCATGACCTTGAGAATATTATATACCATCCATCCATCCATCCATTTTCTACCCTTTAATCCATTTCTGGGTCAGGGGGGTGGCAGTCAGAGATGCCACCCAAGTCTCATAGCACCAGCCCCTCACTGATCCTCTGCAGGTGGTGAGTCCACAGGAGCTGAGATCTTCCAGCGGGGGCTTTGGGCAAAGTAGGGTTAAGTGTCTTGCCCAAGGACACAACAACAGCAGTCATCAGTGGGAGTCGGTGGAGAAGGTGTAGAGGTGGGAAATGAACCCACGACCTTCTGGCCTTAAGGCCAAGGCTAAGGCCAAGGCTCTACCAACTGAGCTACTGTCGCCCCCAATATTATATACATTGAAGTTTAACGTTTTCTGATTTTTCCTTTTTTAAGAATTGATTACATATGGATTAAACATTTGCATTTGCTTCTAAACTAAAAAATCAAAAGAATTACACAAACAAAGCCATATTTACAGTAACATTTGTGGATCATCTTGGGTTGGGGATCATTTCTCTGTGTCGTTCCGGGACAAAAAACTGCCCTAAACTTCCACATACTAATTATTTTTATTATTTTTTTAATTATTTTCTCATTAAGGTGTTGAGAAGTGGTGACAATATACAAAAAACTAAATACATACACATTGTTTTATTCCAGTTAGAACGGATTTTGTCAAAATTAAATTAAAAAAATGCAAGTCCTCTCCTTTACTCTCCTTAAATCACATAAAGCAAACAAACCAGTATTTACATATTTCTGTACAGTCAAATATTTAGAAAGTTCTTGGGGAGAGCGAGCGAGAGTAGCAGTGAGAAAGGGCAAGCTGCGGGAGGAAGAGGAGGAGGAGGGGGAAGAGGAGGAGGAGGAGGAAGAGGAGGAGGAGGAGGGAGCCGGAGTCTATAGAAGTGGACTTGGATTTGAAGTGACAGCCGGGTCATCGCTGGCATTTTAACCGCTGACCCGTTTGTCTCCACTGAGGGTGTTTCCTTTGTCTGGCCAAAAAAAGACACACACACATACACGCACACACACACACACACACACACACGCACACGCGCACAGTATAGATCCAGACACTGAACCGGCCTCTTAATGCTATTTCTTTCGACCTTTTTGTCCAATTCTTTTGTAGCATTCAGGCCACTTCCATTTTGACATAGATCCAGGAGAAATTATATTGGGTGATTATTGTTACAAGCAACACAATATAGGAAAACACACATTCATGTTGTATGAAATTGTCAATAGAAATGCTCTGTGATGTCTTCTATCTGGAGATATGTACATAAATTAGGATTTTATCAAGAATATACAGGATTGGTTGAAGCAAAAAAAGCTGATATTCAAACTCTCTCCCGGCCATTCAGACACACGCAACAATACAATATATATACAAGAATCGATACAAGTACACTTTGACAAAACATATGAGAGCGGTACGACACATACACATAGTGTTAGACACACAGCAAGAAAGCAATAAACACACACACACACGCATACACAGAGAGAGAGAGAGAGAGAAACAGAGAGAGAGAGAGAGCGAAACACACACAGGCATACACACAGGGAGACACACACACAAACAGAGAGAGAGACACACACACACATACGCATACACACAGAGAGAGAGCAAAACACACACACACAGGCATACACAGACAGAGAGAGAGAGACACACACATTCAGCAGAATTAGTAGACACACAAACAGAGAGAGACACACACAAGCATACACACATAGAGAAAGTAGACACACACACAGAGACACTAATACACACACAGAGACACACACACACACAGTTCTGATCGGTGTTGGCCAGAACAACATCTCTGTGGTTTTGGGCTGTACAAAAATACATTGAAATTGACAAAATTGTTCAAAATGTGTTTGGATCACGGTACATTTTAGCCAAATTTGAGCCATTTTTCACATATTTTTCCGTGTTTGTTCTTGTCGTATATGACTGTAACATGTTTATAGGTATTTCCTTCACCCACACATTATGGATCCAAACAAACGATGGTGAACGGAGCGAGGACGGCGCCGGGACAAAGGGTCGTCAGGGTTTAACCTCTTTAATTAAATCTGCGATGGACGGATCCTGTGTCATTGGACGTTCGCCAAATCACATCGTCATAATACCATTCTAATGTCGCTCAAGAGCACCGCACAATTTCTTAACCTTGATGCTTCACTTTGGCTTCGACCATTTCTAAAATTAAAGTGGCTAATTATGCTAACGCTGTCTGCGCCGCGGGGGAACGGCCGCCGTGAGCTCCGGGACATAAAGCTTTGTCTATGGTTTTCTAATGTTACTGACCCAAGAACCCGGAGGTTGTTGTCGGCAAAATATTAATAATTACAGATGCATTATGTTTATTTATTCATTCATTTAATGCAGGCATGTCAAACTCAGGCCCGTGGACCAAATCCGGCCCACGGGACTATTTTTAGTGGCCCCAAACATGAATTTTGCAGTCAGTGATTTTTTTCCGGATGCAATTTTTTTTGAATATTGTGGGAAAATGTCCCTAAAACCTAAAAGTAGTCAAGTTATCATGTGTTTTGTTATTGAACAGATGTCTGTAGTCTACAAAAATTCATGTGTTTACCCCCTTCACCCTCTTCCTGTTTCTCACGAGTGCACCTGAGTTATTGAATTTTCTAAAACCTAAAAGGACTGAACAGAAAATACCAATGTAACGTTTTCCGCCCACTCTCCCTGTTGTGACAAAGAAAAGAAAATGCTGGATGTTTGGTTTGGTGGAGAGGGAGGGGAGGGGGAGTGGTTTGGTGGAGGGGGAGGTGAGGGGGGAGTGGTTTGTTGTGGAGAGGGAGGGGAGGGGGGAGTGGTTTGGTGGAGAGGGAGGGGAGGGGGAGTGGTTTGGTGGAGAGGGAGGGGAGGGGGGAGTGGTTTGGTGGAGAGGGAGGGGAGGGGGGAGTGGTTTGGTGGAGAGGGAGGTAAGGGGGGAGTGGTTTGGTGGTGAGGGAGGGGAGGGGGGAGTGGTTTGGTGGAGAGGGAGGGGAGGGGGGAGTGGTTTGGCTGGAGAGGGAGGGGAGGGGGGAGTGGTTTGGTGAGAGGGAGGGGAGGGGGGAGTGGTTTGGTGGAGAGGGAGGGGAGGGGGAGTGGTTTGGTGGAGAGGGAGGGAGGGGGGGAGTGGTTTGGTGGTGAGGGAGGGGAGGGGGGAGTGGTTTGGTGGAGAGAGAGGGAGGGGGGATTGGTTTGGTGGAGAGGGAGGGGAGGGGGGAGTGGTTTGGTGGAGAGGGGAGGTAGGGGGGGGGGTGGAGGGTAGGGGGGGGGGGGGTGGGGGTGGGGGGGGGGGGGGGGGGGGGAGGGGGGTGGGGGGGGGGGGGGGGGGGGGGGGTGGGGGTGGGGGGGGGGGGGGGGGGGGGGGGGGGGAGGGGGGGGGGGGGGGTGGGGGGGGGGGAGGGGGGGGGGGGGGGTGGGGGGGGGGGGGGGGGGGGGGGGGTGGGGGGGGGGGGGGGGGGGGGGGGGGGTGGGGGGGGAGGTGAGGGGGGGGGGGGGGGGGGGGGGGGGGGGGGGGGGTGGGGGGGGGGGGGGGGGGAGGGGGGGGTGGGGGGGGGGGGGGTGGTTGTGAGGGGGGTGGAGGGGGGGGGGGGGGGGGAGGGGGGGGGGGGGGGGGGGGGGGGGGGGGTGGGGGAGGGGAGGGGGGGGGGGGGGTGGTGGAGAGGGAGGGGAGAGGGGGGAGTGGTTTGGTGGAGAGGGAGTAAAGGGGGGAGTGGTTTGGTGGTACGAGGGAGGGGAGGGGGGAGTGGGTTTGGTGGAGAGGGAGGGGAGGGGGGAGTGGTTATGGCGGAGAGGGAGGGGGAGGGGGGAGTGGTTTTGGTGGAGATGCGGAGGGGAGGGGGGGAGTGGTTTGGCGGAGAAGGGAGGTAGAGGGGGGAGTGGTTTGGTGGTGAGGGAGGGGAGGGGGGAGTGGTTGGTGGAGAGGGAGGGGAGGGGGGAGTGGTTTGGTGGAGAGGAGGGAGGGGGGGAGTAGGTGGGGGAGTGGTTTCCAGTTGGTGCTACGGCTAAGCTAACAACAACGCTTACTGCACCTTTAACTTGCCGCCGCATTGATGCTAATGGACGGCCATGGATGGCATGTTATACATCAAGTATTTCCTCAGATAAACAACCAAATGTAATTTATTTAAAATTTTGAACCCGACACATTATAAGAAGAATATAAAAGAATATGTTTAACTTTATATTCGGTTCAGTTTTGGGTAAATCCAAATAATAAACACATTTAATCAAAAATAATAGTAATGTCAAAAATAATTAGAATTTATTCTTTTGGCCCTAAACAGCTCCTATTTTTTAGTTGCCCGGCCCTGGACCAAGATGAGTTTGACAGCCTGATTCAATGTGACTTTAGTGTATGTCTCTGGCCTTGTCTGTTGTGTTACAGTTGGCAATGAAGTCAAAATTAACAAAATACAAGTTTATTTTCTCACTTAGATAGAGATGCATACATTTTTAGAGCGGGGTCTGGTATCTGCTGTTTACAATGGACCTTTTGAAACGTACACATTTGACTTTATTTTGCTAAAGTTGGAGATTTTATACGTGCCTCGTTTTTAGGTTAAAGTTACGGAAAAAATATCTCTTCATCTCAATCAATTTACATGATGGGGTTAATCTTAATCCATTTCCTGCTTGTTGCGATAGACCTTAGATTCTCCAAAAGTTTAGGATTTGGAGATGATCCTGCAACAGAATCTGGATCCAAATTGTCGATTCGTCTACAACAGATCAGAGAATCAAACAGTTAAAACACAGGGAATGCAATGATAACAACAGGAGCCATTGGTCCATGTTAATAAGACCCATACATGTCAATAAGCAAGTAAGCATGATTTATTTATATAGCGCATTTTACAGACCAAGCTCACCCAAAGCGCTTTACAATCGTTCAGAATTCAGATCCATTCTCTCCACAAACGGAAGTCAAAAATGTAGTCAAATCAACATAAATCTACCCTAATTTTTGGATAGCATTTTGGGTGTAGACTTAATACATAGAGGCTACTCGTCTTTCTCTTTCGTAACCATTCAGAAGGGTCATCTTTCCTTCTAATAAAGGAGGGTGTTCTACTTCCGGGTGTATCATCAAGACTATTGGTCCTCCTAATGGTCAATCATTCTGGAGATACGTGCTTGGTTCTTTCCTAAAATTTGGGAAAATCCTCTTATATACAGTACCTTTAAGCCTGGAGCAGTTTTCCCTATTATTAATCACATGTTAGCGAGCCCAGAACGCAAAGGTTGGTGTCGTGGCACGTGTGTGTGTGTGTGTGTGTGTGTGTGTGTGTGTGTGTGAGTGTGAGATTCATTATAATCTCAGAGAGCAGCGGCGGAGATGTAAAACAAGCAGAATGCGGACCTTTAATCAGGCAGACGTGTTCCGGGCTGAACTCTGCTCATCCCAGCAGAGACTCGGAGCAGGCGCCAATAACATAAAGCAGAATTATCGCTGTGGATCAAGCTTTATGCTTAGAATGTGTGAAGTGGAGGAGGAGGAGAACAAGCAGCAGAGAGATGGGTTTGGAGACGGTGGAAGAAGCGATGAGAAATTGGTTAAAAAATGGCTAAAATTTTGCTAAATGTCATTTTTAAGCTGGAAATGTTATACTTGCTTCTTTATATATAAGAATTAAACTGTGAAAAGTGATGTAAAACAGGTCAAAAATGGTAAAAATTTGGCTAATCGTCATTTTTCACAATTATCTTTTGTTGAATGAGGCTAAAGTAACGCGTAACATTTGTATAGGATAGTTTGCATTTTGTGGTTGGGATTCCTTTAATAATGATAATGCACAATGGTGATAACATATTGTAGCCACAGCTGCCCACCACCATCTGTGCACACAACAGACTCATTCTAATGTGGGTGAAGTATCTTGCTTAAGGACACAGCGACATTTTGGCACTTTACAGCTGCAGCTGCCCCACTGTGGCACCTGCTGTTCCAGAGGTCTCCCATCACAGTGCTAACCAGGCCCTGCCCTGCTTAGCTTCTGAGGTCTGACCACATTTTAGCATTGAAGAGAAGCCCGTGTCACATATTCAGGAAAACTGTTTAGTCCTGACTCTGGCCAACAGCATGAGTCCCTGTGCTCCTCGGAGTCCCAGCAGGAGGCCAGTCCCTGTGCTCCTCAGAGTCCCAGCATGAGGCCAGTCCCTGTGCTCCTCAGAGTCCCAGCAGGAGGCCAGTCCCTGTGCTCCTCAGAGTCCCAGCAGGAGGCCAGTCCCTGTGCTCCTCAGAGTCCCAGCATGAGGCCAGTCCCTGTGATCCTCAGAGTCCCAGCAGGAGACCAGTCCCTGTGCTCCTCAGAGTCCCAGCAGGAGGCCAGTCCCTGTGCTCCTCAGAGTCCCAGCATGAGGCCAGTCCCTGTGCTCCTCAGAGTCCCAGCATGAGGCCAGTCCCTGTGATCCTCAGAGTCCCAGCAGGAGACCAGTCCCTGTGCTCCTCAGAGTCCCAGCAGGAGACCAGTCCCTGTGCTCCTCAGAGTCCCAGCAGGACACCAGTCCCTGTGCTCCTCAGAGTCCCAGCAGGACACCAGTCCCTGTGCTCCTCAGATCTCTATGTGGGACTGAGGATTGATTCTGGCTTTACCTTCTCTCAGAGTTCCCCTTCGCTGCCGCTGCTGCTGCTTCCGTCTCGACTCCCGTGAGTTTGAGTTCACTCCGGGGCGAGAGCTGTCGTCCTCCGTCCAAACACGCCGCAATAATTTGGTGCTCATCGTGCGTTACACTAATCTCCTGCCCTTGAACCACGGTCTACCTGCGCGCCTATAAATCAGCGCCTATATACCTGCGCCTGTGTACCTGCGCCTGTGCCAGCGGAGGCCCTAATAAATCACTTTCCATCCGATTGCCTCCGCCGCGGCAGTAGACTCACTGTGGAGACAGCGGAGTGAGTTTGAGAATCACCCAGGAGTCAAAAGGAACAGCTGGATCCACGAACCGTACCGCCCACTGGGATCTGAACTCACAACCCCTGCCCTGTCTCGCTTCTACAGACCCAATACATGTCTACGCTGGGAAAAAATGATAGAATATGAGGTAATAAATGCTTGAATTGTGTGGTTTTTGTCTTAGTTTGAGAACATTCTGGCTGCGTTTAAACAAGATTCTCCAATGGGACAAAGTCATTTAGGGTTATTTCAAGAACTGGTGCTTTGTTTTCGCATTCCACACTGAGAAAAGTAATGAAAAATAAGACTAAAATGGCTCAAATTTGGCAAAATGTATCTTAATTCTGACTGATTTAAAACTAGATTTGCCAATGGGACTAAGCAAAATGATCTTGTTTTAAAAATATACAAGAAATGTCTCCCTTGGAATGAGAAAATAAAGAAACAGTGCTTGAGAGAAGATTAAATGGCTTTGGTCTATCGATGAATCTTGTTTTAACACAGTCAGAAAGTGCTCAAATTAAAGGTGCAGTAAGTGGTTTTGTTAGCTTAGCCGTAGCACCAACTGGAAACCACTCCACCCTCCCCTCGCCTCTCCACCAGACCAAACATCCAGCATTTTCTTTTCTTTGTCACAACAGGGAGAGTGGGCGGAAAACGTGAGATTAGGCATTTTCTGTTAAACCATTTTAGGTTTTAGTAAATCCGATGACTCCGATGCACTCGCGAGATACAGGAAGGGGGTGAAGGGGGTAAACGCATCCCATTGGTTCGTTGGAGATGAGTCCGCTCCAAAATATTTCATGTAAATTTTTGGTCCATTACTATTTGAAAACACATGATAACTTGTCTACTTTTAGGGTTAAGGGACGTTTACCCACAATATTTAAAAAAGTTGTGTCTGGAAAAAATCACCGACTGCATCTTTAAGTGAAAAAACACTCTATTCCAGCAGGAGACATTTCTTGTATCTTTCTAAAACAAGATCGTTTTGCTTTGTCCCACCGGAAAATCTCGTTTTAAAGCTCAGTCAAAATGTGCTCAAATTAAGACACATTTTGCCAAATTTCATCCATTTTTGACTAATTTTTTGTCACTTTTTGCAGTGTACTGAAACAAGCGCTCTCTCTATTCCCAGTTTTATGCAAGTTTCATGTCAAAACCAATCCATCCTTAAAAGCAGAAGAGAACGGAGCCAAAAAGTGGGAGATTTATTTTGACGAGGTCTTTGTTTTGGCTCTGACTTTAACAGAAAGTGACGTAAACAAGACAAGCCGACAATTCTGCACTAAATGATAAAGTCGTCAGTGTTTCTGCGACGGACTCGAGGCTGAGGTCGCTTCCAAATTGTGATAAACGGTGACTTGAAGATTGGAAGGTTTTGGGGAAATTGGAAAATTGGCGACGGGTCAAGTCTAGACTGGATCAGAAGTCCCAAGACAAATTCTCTCCGGTTCATGGCTTTTTTGGGATTTCCCCGCTGTGGGATAAATAAGGATTCTCATATTGATATATTTTGGACATATATATTATAGTATGGATAAATAATTAATAATAATAATAACTATAACAAATCTTCATTCCAGATTTGAGGTCCATAAGACTCAAACAAACAAAACACAAAATATCACATTTTTACATTTATCTGTTATTTTTTTCTTTTTTAATTTGTGTAGTTTTTGTGTTATTTATTTTTAGTCCAATTTTATTATTATTTATTTGTGTCATTTTTTCACTGTTAAAAACATCTCTATTTATTTTTTTTATTTTTTTTAATCAATCTTTTGCCTGTAATCTTCTCCTTTAAATGATAACTGAATGTATAAATGATGAATGTTTGATTTAATATTTTCAGGGCAAAAACTCAAAAGTATATATTTCAAAACATAAAATATTACACCTGATTGACCAAAATAATACAAAATATAGTTAATTTATGAAGAGAGATAAGATCAATTTGAATTATAATTTCCTCTCTTTGGAATTTCTTGGCACAAAAACTACACAATTGTTCTTCTCCCCACTCCTTTTTGAGTTGAATCATGTACAATATTTATATATAATTGTTAATGAAGTTTTTGTTCATCTACATACTGACATTTGATAAAAAAAAGTTTGACTTACATTGAACTTTTAGATAAACAATTAACAACTCCATAATTTTATCACATCTTTAGCAAATTTCTCGGTACATACAGCAATAACTCACACATGTCAAAAATACTATCAATAATCATCAAAATTGTCGTCTATGTTGTTAATGTTTGAGGCTTACACTGCAAAAAGTGATGAAAAGTAAGTCAAAAATTGCTCAAATTTGGCAAAAAGTATCATTATTTTAAAAAGATACAAGAAAGATCTCTCTTGGAATGAGAAAATAGTAAGTAGTAAGTAAGTAAGTTTTTATTTATATACCGCCTTTTCACTGCAGATCTGAGTCTCAAAGAGGTTTACAATTGTTAATTATGGGCATTTGTCTCTCACGCCACACAGAGATGGGGGCGGGGCCAGTACAGGAGGCGCATGCCAGAACTATTGGACATATTTTTAGTGGTAGGGGAAACCGGAGTACCCGGAGGAAACCTACGCAGACACGGGGAGAACATGCAAACTCCACTCAGAAAGGCCCTGGCCCGACCGGGATTTGAACCCAGGACCTTCTTGCTGAGAGGCGAGAGTGCTATCCACTCAGCCACCGTGCAGCAACAGTTCTTGAAATAATTCTAAATAACTTAGTCCCACTTGTGAATCTTGTTTTAAAACAGTCAGAATGTGTCAGATTAAGACACTAAAAACACTTGATTCACTATTACCTCATATTTTATCATATTTTGAATCTTTCACCGTCTGTGCTAGCTGTAGCATTAGCCCGTCCTTTATCCCGGTCACTAAAACCATGATTTTTTGCAGAGATTTGAGCCTTATTCTGCCTCCGAACATAACACCACAGAGCTGGAGCTTTCAGGCTGCACGCCGCGCCAATCAGCATAATTATGACTGAGTGAAATATAGACGATTATTGAAAAACGGTGATCCGAGCCGTGCCATCTGTTCCGCTCCGCTGCTCCACACGCTCGCACAAAACACACACACACACACACACACACACACAAAAGATTCATATGCGTGGAGCGGGGAGACTTTGCATAGACCGACGAAACGCGACGGAACCTATAGATCTAATTACCCTCGCTGCCGAAAGCCGAGGAGACGCAGGCAGCTACTGTTATTTGAGGCTGGTGTGAATTGCGACAGATTTGAATGGGAGTCGTCAATGACTTTGTGTGTCTCTCTGTGTGTGTGTGTGTGTGTGTGTGTGTGTGTGTGTGTGTGTGTGTGTGTGTGTGTGTGTGTGTGTGTGTGTGTGTGTGTGTGTGTGTGTGTGTGTGTGTGTGTGTGTGTGTGTGTGTGTGTGTGTGTGTGTGTGTGTGTGTGTGTGGGTTGGACTGTGCCTCTCAGAACAAACTGTGCTTTATTTCCGTTCATTTCGGTGATGTCGAGAGGCTCTATGTCTCATGTTTTAGAGAGTGGAGTAACTTTAAAACTACAAAATATCAGCGGTAAAGTCTAGGTAACTGCTTAAAGGATTTTTTTAACTTCCGGGTGGATCTTCAAGACTATTGGTCCTCCTAATTGTCAATCATTCTGGTGATTTGTGCTCGTCAAGTAAGACAAGAGAGTCTTGTTCAAAATCAGGAGAGGGCGGTTCTTTCCTAAAATTTGGGAAAGTTTTGTTTTATCGCTAGTTTTTACATGAATGTATCTTTACCCTTTTTCAAACTGATTGACTTTTGTTTATTCATTGGAGCAGAAATTATACATTCATAAGTTTATACTGCAAAATATGATTAAATATGAGGTAATAAATGCATGAATCAAGTAGTTTAAAAAAAAATCTGAGTTCATTCTGACTGTTTTATTTCAAAAACTCATATCAACTTCATTCAAAATGTCAAATAAATTGCGGAATCACTGATATTGTAATACACAGAAGTGCTCAAAAGTGTCAAAATGTGGAAGGACAATTGTCATATCACAGCTGAAACTTAACTGAAATTGTGAAACCAATATTTATGATGTAGACTTGCAATAATAGATGGAAAAAGTGATGAAAAAAATGAAAAAGTGCTCAAATTTGGCAAAATATATTGTATTTTGAGCACATTCTGACTGCCTTAAAACAGGATTCTCCAATGGGACAAAGCAAAATGATCTTGTTTTGAAAAGATACAAGAAATGTCTCCTTTGGAATGAGAAAAAAAGCAACAGTTCCTGAAATAAGACTCTAAGAATCTAAAAACCGCTTAATTTCTTACCTCCTATTTTAACATTTTTTAGCAGTGCTGGATGGATTTTAAAATGGTTAAAACCTCAAAAACAATGCAAGGTTCAGTCTTGTAGCTTCACTTTCTCGTCAACATTGAAATCCTGTTGTTTGGACGTTCAGTCTGTCTTGCATTTAGTCAATTACCTCTGCATATTTTTTGTTTCACGTTTCCCTGGACGAACATTCTCTGCTGTGTTTGCTTTTCCACAGATCTTATCGGTGACTTGTCTCGGAGTCACATGCTTGTTCCAATTACTGTCCCAGGCAAAGTCATATTTGAAACAAGGGTAAAGAGAAAATGGCTGAAAGTGAAAGTCTCAATATATAGTAGTAGTATTAGTAGTAGTACAGTAGTAGTTATATTTGAGGATGATCCAATAACAGTATTCAGACTGTGCTGGTCCAATAAAAAGTCTATACTCTAGGGGTGTCAAACTGGTTCCAGAAAGGGCCGTTGTGGATACAGGTTTTCATTCCAACCAAGCAGGAGCACACCAGACTCCACCCATTTCCTCAAGTATATGTTACTTTATATAATTAATAGTTACCTAATG